CACAAGCCAATTTTCATTTTAATACATTTATAGCTACATTTATTTTGTAATTTAAATTATGTAATTCCGTTACAACTAGTTACTCCCCGACACTGATGACAGAATAACATCTCCTCTACACCTTCACCTGAAAAACAAAGTTGTGAGGCGAATCATTGACATTTGCCTTCAGATCAAACTCAAGGGGTCGCAGGGGCCTCTGAGGTCCGAGCTACTCAGCCAAACATTCCTTTACGAGCATTATCTATGATCTGTCAACATGAGCTGATCAAATAAGTGTTGAGCACACAAGCGCTGATCTGATCTGGGGCAGCTCGTGTTTAGCGGTGTGTCTCTGTTCTACAATGTGGCATGGACTCAAGGTGCAAAGTTGCAATGACAACAACATGATGTGCGGACTGATGGTAAAAGTGTCATCAAGGGCCATTAAAAATACGCTCTTGTACAAATACGCTAGGTAAACGAGTTATGTAAGATAATCCGATGTAACTGAGGTGACGTTCCAGCAGGTGGCAGCAAAGCTTGTATTATAGCAGTTCACTGTCTCTTCTCCAGAAATTTTTTAGTTCACCCACTGTATAATATAATATAATATAATATAATATAATATAATATAATATAATATTTTTGCTACATATAATCCCATAATATTTGTATAGTAGGTTTCCACTGGACTGAACCTATTAATTTATATATATGTCTCTATATATTGAAGTACTGATAAGATTAGATATAGACTGTCATAAACATACTCTGTGTTTATTGATATGAGTCTTATTTTTTGAAGTGTATTTTATCTGTTTAACTGTAAATCCCTGGACTACTGATGCAAGTAGGCGCTCTAACATGCATGTAGTCATACTATAGAAAATGTCTGTACCACATTTGACCCCACAACAAAAGAGAAACAAGTAGGAAATAGTGTTTTACACTATTACACACATACAGTGGGTACGGAAAGTATTCAGACCCCCTTAAATTTTTCACTCTTTGTTATATTGCAGCCATTCGTCAAATACAAAAGTTTTGTGTTTATAATTTTGTTCAATGTGTATATATACTGTATATATAGTGTGACGAGCGTATATGCGTAGATGCTGAGACTGGGACCTGATGCTCCCATACGTCCTCTTCGGGATCCGCGAAGTTCCACAGGCCTCAACTGGCTTCACCCTCTTCGAGCTCCTCTTTGGCCGGCAACCCCGAGGCCTCCTGGATGTGGCGAAGGAAGCCTGGGAGCAGCAGCCACTTTGTCTACGAGCATTTAAAACAGATGAGGGAACGGATCGACCGGGTCATGCCATTAGTCCGGGAACACCTGACAAAGGCGCAGCAGGCCCAACATCGCCACTATAACTGGGCAGCCCAGCCACAGGAGTTCCAGCCCGGAGACCGAGTCATGGTCCTAGTCCCCAATGCAGCCTGCAAATTCCTGGCCACCTGGCAGGGTCCCTATACTGTGCTGGAGAAGATTGGGCCGGTGACGTACTGGGGCGTCAGCCAGGAAGGAGGAGAGCCGAGCAGCTCTACCACATTAACCTCCTGAAGAAGTGGATGGGGACTAGAGACCAGCTCGTGGCCCTCGCCATCTCTGATCCCGTGGTTGTTGATGTCAACCCCCACCTCTCAGCTGCCCAGAAGAGGGAGCTGCAGCACCTGGCCGGTCAGTTCTCTAATGTATTCTCCTCTCTTCCCGGGCGGACCAACGTCCTGCAGCACGACCTCCGGACGCCGCCAGGGGTTGTCATCAGGCAACGGCCCTACCGTGTCCCTGAGGCTTGTCGGTGAGCTATTGAGGAGGAAATTCAACAGATGCTGAAGTTGGGGGTGATAGAACCATCACGCCACCATTTGCCTCATGCAGTGCAACTGTGAAGATGGTGGATGTGGAGGTCCTGGGCTGGTGTGGTTACACGTGGTCTGTGGTTGTGAGGCCGGTTGGATGTACTGCCAAATTCTCTGAAACGCCTTTGGAGACGGCTTATGGTAAAGAAATGAACGTTCAATTCACGGGCTCCGGTGGACATTCCTGCAGTCAGCATGCCAATTGCACGCTCCCTCAAAACTTGTGACATCTGTGGCATTGTGCTGTGTGATAAAACTGCACATTTTAGAGTGGCCTTTTATTGTGGCCAGCCTAAGGCACACCTGTGCAATATTCATGCTGTCTAATCAGCATCTTGATATGCCACACCTGTGAGGTGGATGGATTATCTCTGCAAAGGAGACGTGCTCACTAACACAGATTTAGACAGATTTGTGAACAATATGTGAGAGAAATAGGCCTTTTGTGTACATAGAAAATGTCTTAGATCTTTGAGTTCAGCTCATGACAAATGGGGTCAAATACAAAAGTTTTGTGTTTATAATTTTGTTCAATGTGTATATATACTGTATATATAGTGTGACGAGCGTATATGCGTAGATGCTGAGACGGGTGGTCGTGGAGGACAAGCGCGACTGGGACCTGATGCTCCCATACGTCCTCTTCGGGATCCGCGAAGTTCCACAGGCCTCAACTGGCTTCACCCTCTTCGAGCTCCTCTTTGGCCGGCAACCCCGAGGCCTCCTGGATGTGGCGAAGGAAGCCTGGGAGCAGCAGCCAGCAGCCCATCACTCTGTCATCGAGCATGTAAAACAGATGAGGGAAAGGATCGACCGGGTCATGCCATTAGTCCGGGAACACCTGACAAAGGCGCAGCAGGCCCAACATCGCCACTATAACTGGGCAGCCCAGCCACAGGAGTTCCAGCCCGGAGACCGAGTCATGGTCCTAGTCCCCAATGCAGCCTGCAAATTCCTGGCCACCTGGCAGGGTCCCTATACTGTGCTGGAGAAGATTGGGCCGGTGACGTACTGGGGCGTCAGCCAGGAAGGAGGAGAGCCGAGCAGCTCTACCACATTAACCTCCTGAAGAAGTGGATGGGGACTAGAGACCAGCTCGTGGCCCTCACCATCTCTGATCCCGTGGTTGTTGATGTCAACCCCCACCTCTCAGCTGCCCAGAAGAGGGAGCTGCAGCACCTGGTCGGTCAGTTCTCTAATGTATTCTCCTCTCTTCCCGGGCGGACCAACGTCCTGCAGCACGACCTCCGGACGCCGCCAGGGGTTGTCGTCAGGCAATGGCCCTACCGCGTCCCTGAGGCTTGTCGGTGAGCTATTGAGGAGGAAATTCAACAGATGCTGAAGTTGGGGGTGATAGAACCATCGT